GCCTCGGCCTCCCAGAGAGCTAGGATTACAGGCGTGAGCCACCGCGCCCGGCCTGAATGCTAGTATTTTTAATCTTATCACTCTTTTAGCCTGTGTTATTTGAAGGGCAGGGGACAAACACGAAGCAGTCAAGGACCTAAGTCAGAAGGATAAATATAATAGAAGAAAAGCAGTGAGAGCGTGGAAGGATACAGGATGCGTTTATAAAGGCAGCTGCTGATGTCTAAGATTTCTGATCTGCAGCAGAAATCTCCGTCTCCTCCACAGGAGGGCACGCCGTTACACTTCCTGTAAAATCCTTAAGCAAAACGTACTCAAAAAAATAAAAAATAAAATAAAATAAAAAAAACGTACTCAAGCCGCTCAGCAAGACCAACATGAATATTCTTACCTTTATCAAGATCCTCACCAACAGAACCAGGCCCTTCGCTGTAAAAACGTTTTGAAAACTCCTCTATCAGAATTCGGTAGTTCGCTATTTCGCCTCGAGTAATCTGAGGAAAACGAGGTTACGTTAAGTCAGCCCAAATACGCTTGTCAATGTCTTTACTCGGAAAGTAAGATTTAAAAGGTACCTCTGTGAAAGTTCTCTTTATACCCCCGAGAGCATGTTCCACATTCACCGACTCATTGAACAGACTGGACCACATGCTCTCGATATTTTCAACGAGTTCTCTCTCTGCATCGGAAGGCTAATGAGGAAAAAACAAACAATTCCACATATGTTAGGCCTTCTCCACAATATCCTGTACATCTTACATTCTCTTCTGTCTTTTATTTCCGTGGTTCATTCTAATAGTTTGACGTGAGCTTTCAGCTCATTAATGTTCTATTCAGTTGTGTCTGATCTGCTTTTGCTGGTTCCTTAACTAATCCTTTGATTTTTTCATTTCAAGCATTGTAATTAATCAGTTCTAGGATTCACATTTACAACTTATGACTTAAAGTCACTTATTTAGAAATGAATCTATGGCAGCGCACTTGAGAAGTATGTCTGAAAAGGGTCTTAGGAGCCAACCCGACTGTAAAATGCACAAGAAAACAGAAGTCGACTTACAAAGAGGTTATACATCGCCATGGTGCGGTATCGCTCCTGGACGTCCCTGTATCTTAGTTCCATGACTAAAGATTTACTTCTAATTTCTGCAATTGTGGCAAGGACAAACTTGAGATCTTCAAGGGTACCGGGGCTCTTCCTAAGGTTTCTGGCCAGGTGCTATAAACAAAAGTTCAAACGACACTAAATAAACATAGAAAAAACAGTTAACGGTACAAAGGAAGCCCAACCTTTAAGCAAAGTAGTTTCAATTAAACATAGCAATTGAGTACCTCGATCTCTTCATGGAGACTGTACAGCTCCTCCTTTGCTGACTCGTTGAGAAGTTTTCCAAGGGAAACCACCCAGGACTTGGCGTTTTCCTGCACTGTGTTCGCCAGCGGCCCGAGCTGGAGCCTGATGCAGCGCTCGTCCTTAACTAAAGGGTGGCGCATGACCTCGCTGGCTGTCTTGGAGTAGAACTGCAACTTCTCGTCGTATGCCGTACAAGGGGGTTTCCTGGCCGCAAATTTCTCCATCACAATAGCTTTGTCCAATTTCCAGAGAGGTCGATACCGCTTCCATTTCTGCAGGTACTTCATGAGATTGACCAGGATCCTGTGGATGTTTTGGGGGATCATAACAGCTTGCTCAACTATCTGAGGAGTCACAGAAATGTCATTGTAAAAGCTGATTACGACAACTTCTTCTTCCTCCCCCTTCTGAGGAGGGCATTCTATGCAGCTGCCATTCATCCATCGCACAAAATTCTGGCAAAATAAGAATTGGGGGAAAAGATAGTATTTTAGTATCTATTTTGCCTCCTGTGTATATATTAATATTCAGTGACAAGTCTTGCCCAGTAATGGAAATCATTTTATTATTAATAAACTATGCCAGATCACAAAAATTACCACAATAACCTTTGTTCCTCCCATCAAGAGATGGAGTCTCCCAAGGTGACGGTTTGGGAAAGAAAAAGAAAAAAGAAAAAAAAAATTAGAGATGGAGTCTATTTCCCCATCCTGGACTAGCCTGGTGACTTAACGTGACCCGGTGGAAAAGGGACAGAAGTAGTTTACACAAGTTCCAAGCCAAGGTTGCAGGAAGTCTGCAGCTTCTACTCTCATGCTCTTGAAACCTTGCAGCCACCAGATGCATGAGCCTGAGATGGCCTACCAGGTGATGATAAGCCATTCACCCATCCCACAGCCAGCCCGTCATCAGAGCTGTGCTTGAGGTCATCAGCTGCTAGACACGTAAGTGAACACAACCAAGACCAAAAGAACCGCTCAGCAGAACCCAACCCACGGAACCGGAAGCTAAATAAATGGTCACTGTTTTAAGCCACTACGATTTGAAGTGGCTTGTTACATGATAAAAGCTAACTACCCTATGGGTGAATAAAATAACACTTGTTTCCATGTTCACAGATGAAGAAACACAGTGAGTCAGGCAAACTGACTGCCCAGTGTCCCAGAACAAATCTGCGAATTTGACATCCCCCCGCTTCATAGTCAAGGCTCTTTTCTTTTAATCGAGTGTGATTCGCAACAGCAAACCATGGGTGTGTTACATATTAATTCCCTGGATCACAGTTCCACCATCTGTAAAATGTGAATAAACAACTATTACTTGTACTTCTAATATTACTACTAATAAGAGAAAGATGTCAGTATGTTGAGGGGACATGATGTCCCTTATCCACAAAGATGGCCCTATTTTCCCATTTTTGGTAAGACATAAACTTTGAGGTATCTGCCAACAGATGTTCATTTAAGAAACATTTACTGAGAACAAACTATGTGCTAGACATTCTTCTCGGTGCTGGGGATTCAAAAGTGAACAAAATTCTCACTGGCATTGGGGTGAAGGATGATCTCCG